GTCCACTTGTAAAGAGGGTCCCTCCCAGGTATTTGCTTGGATCCAAACCACTGACCCTCCCATCGCATGAGATGGGACACATGGAAAGTGCTTCCTGGCCCCCACAGTTGCCTGTGGTCCATGCTTCTCTGAGATCCCTGCTCTTTTGATCATTGGGGGTATTCCTCTGTCACCTCCCTCCACAGAGTTACAGTTGCTGAGGGTAATTTATTCTGTCCTTTCTCCACAGGTGCGACTATAGATATTTTTTTCTGAGAAGGTTCTCATCCCTCAGTTTTCTTACACTTCTTTTCTTGGGGTTTCTTTTTCTTTATTCAGACTCCCCAAGAGCTTTTGATCTCTCTCTCTCTCTCACTCTGTTCACAGTGCTGAATTAATATACTCTACTGGGAAATAGACCACAGGGCCTTGGGGTACAGGTGTCTAACAAGGGCACCAACCCCTGTGAGCAATGGGGATGGAAGGGGCGCAGTGAAGCCAGAGCCCATAAAATCAACCTCTAGAGCCTTTGTAAGGGCCAGTTCAGATACTTTCCCCAACAACCAGAAGCATCAGCAGCGCAAACTTCTGGAGGTGGTAAGTCTCAAGGTGAGGCCAGGAAAATTGTGAGGAAGGAGGCAATGAGGAAAGGAGGTGAGTCCAGGAATAAAAAGGAGATGGAATGCTTTCAATAGGGCCTAGTGCAGATGTAGATCCTGTGAAGATACTTAGATCATGTGGCCATACAAGGTTTATGGGCTTCAAACAACTCTAGGCTCAAAGCCCTTCACCCATATCATGGCTGGGAGACCAAGGCTGTGTGCCTGGCTGGGTCAGGATCTCTCTTTCTGACCTAGTCTAAATCCATCTGTGAGCCAAGATGATCACTCCTTTTTCTATGCAGCCATTTCTGGGCTTGGATATTCTGTTATATTTTTGGTTATTTAAGACTTATCTGACCTTTCCAGATTCAATATATCATGGTCAGAGAACATGTTTTCTTTGCTAGCACCTGGAACAAAGAATCACAGCAGCCACTCCTTTGTAGATATTAGCCTGTGAGTAAAAACTAATGGAATTGGAGTATTGGTGATCAAATCTATGCCCCAGATGGCCAACAAGTCCTCACTTCTTAGAATAAGAGGCCTTACTTTCAATGAGGAGAATACATATATAGAGAAAAAAAAAGGTTCTGGCTATTAAGGAATATAAAAGAGACTATAAGGAAAAGGTCAGTTTTCATTCCAATCCTTAAGAAAGGCAATCCCAAAGAATGCTCAAACTACCACACAATTGCACTCATCTCACACGCTAGAAAAGTAATGCTCAAAATTCTCCAAGCCAGGCTTCAGGAATACGTGAACCGTGAACTTCCAGATGTTCAAGCTAGTTTTAAAAAAGGCAGAGGAACCAGGGACCAAATTGCCAATATCCGCTGTATCATCGAAAAAGCAAGAGTTCAAGAAAAACATCTATTTCTGCTTTATTGGCTATGCCAAAGCCTTCGACTGTGTGGATCACAATAAACTGTGGAAAATTCTGAAAGAGATGGGAATACCAGACCACCTAACCTGCCTCTTGGGAAACCTATATGCAGGTCAGGAAGCAACAGTTAGAACTGGACATGGAACAACAGACTGGTTCCAAATAGGAAAAGGAGGACATCAAGGCTGTATATTGTCACTCTGCTTATTTAACTTCTATGCAGAGTACATCATGAGAAACACTGGGCTGGAAGAAGCACAAGCTGGAATCAAGATTGCTGGGAGAAATATCAATAGCCTCAGATATGCAGATGACACCACCCTTATGGCAGAAAGTGAAGAGGAACTAAAAAGCCTCTTGATGAAAGTGAAAGAGGAGAATGAAAAAGTTGGCTTAAAGCTTAACATTCAGAAAACTAAGATCATGGCATCTGGTCCCATCACCTCATGGGCAATAGATGGGGAGACAGTGGAAGCAGTGCCAGACTTTATTTTGGGGGGCTCCAAAATCACTGCAGATGGTGACTGAAGACATGAAATTAAAAGACGCTTACTCCTTGGAAGGAAAGTTATGACCAACCTAGATAGCATATTAAAAAGCAGAGCCATTACTTTGCCAACAAAGGTCCGTCTGGTCAAGGCTGTGGTTTTTCCAGTGGTCATGTATGGATGTGAGAGTTGGACTGTGAAGAAAGCTGAGCACTGAAGAACTGATGCTTTTGAACTGTGGTGTTGGAGAAGACTCTTGAGCGTCCCTTGGACTGCAAAGAGATCCAACCAGTCCATCATGAAGGAGATCAGTCCTGGGTGTTCACTGGAAGAACTGATTCTGAAGCTGAAACTCCAGTACTTTGGCCACCTGATGTGAAGAGTTGACTCATTGGAAAAGACCTTGATGCTGGGAGGGATTGGGGGCAGGAGGAGAAGGGGACGACGGAGGCTGAAATGGCTGGATGGCATCACCGACTTGATGGACATGAGTTTGAGTAAACTCCGGGAGTTGGTGATGGACAGGGAGGCCTGGAGTGCTGTGATTCATGGGGTCGCAAAGAGTCGGACATGACTGAGCGACTGAACTGAACTGAACTGAACTGAAGATGGAGCTGAAAGTATATTGCCATAATATATCAGTGTTATTGGAGGTCTGAAAGGGACATTTCTTTCCTGTGTCACTTAAAGTTTCATTTATTTCCTGTGACTTTTGGTGATGTTCTTAACTCTAGTCTCCCTGCATCTCATCTTTTCTTACATCAAATTCAAGAGTCCTCCTCACCCCTCTAATACATCCTTTCTTCTCCACCTACATGCCTGTGTTCAAATCTTCCTCACTTTTCCTTTGAACTGTTCAGGACTCTCTAAGACTTGTGTGCAAGTCTCCTTTGTCCCATCTTTAGCATGGCAATTCCCTGCATCAAATTCTCTGTTGATTCCTTAGGATGTACCTGACTGCCTACAGCTAGGTGGGCCATGAATGGCTGAGTATGCTCCATCATGCCTGTAAACTTTGTTTCCTGACACTCCTCTCCTATCTCCTCTCCCCAGGTGAATGTTCTCCCTTTTTGTTTCCTATTCTGATGCTCTTAGCTTGTCATATCCCTGGGCTAAAAGAATCTCAGGAACTGATCCTTTCTGTCCCCACAACAACAGTGAAGCTAAATATCATTTATCTATTTTATAAATGAGAAAACTAGGTACCAAAGAGTTTAAGTAGCTGCCAGGGTGGTACAATGAGCATAAAAGCCAGAATTGGAATTCATTTGCATCTAAGGTCTACTTTTCAAGCATAACACATTGCTTCATTCACCTGTACTTTGGTCTCTTTCCAGTTGTTTGTAAGATCATCTTTACTAGAGCCACAGCTATACTGTATTGTAAGTGTTGGTAGGTTAATTTTCCTCTATTAATTAAGCTCTCAGAAGATAACTGTTTTTCCTTAATCCATGTTATACATTTGCCTGCTTTACAATAAGACCAAATACTGAGAAGGTACTGACTCTTTTCTCATTTGTTCAAATAGATCAAGCCACTCTGAGGATTCAGAACTTGAGGTTATCGGAAAGGAGAAGTCTTTTCAGAAAAGGTGGATATATTTACTATTCTTCTTATTTCTCTGATTTACATAGGGTAATTTTCTTAATCACAAATGAGAAACAAGACAGAGCTGATGCATAATTTTCCCTATTGCTGTTTTAATCCCAGAACCCTTGGTTTGTCTTAAAAGCCCTACAATGGGTAGAAATTGTGTGTGTGTATATGGGTTATCTTGATAAAAATCTGCATTTGGGAAGTCTGAGACATTCAAAGTGAAAGTCCTTTTTCCAATTCTTCTCTGACAGCAAGAGTCTGATACCTCCTTGCACACACTTCACCCACCTACAGGAGACTTGTCAGATAGTACACACACAGATAGTATACATCATTAAGAACCTCAGATCTGCTGATTATATAATGCCTGGGCTCCTGCCTTCATCCTGCCATGATTCTCTGACTCTTTCCTGTTCTTTGGCTATTGAATCCATTGTTGTCACCCTTCTTAGTACTTGATTCACCCTAATCTCTGTTTAGCAGTGAAGGGGATAAGACAGTACCCAATCCAAGAAACAAATGGAATCAAAGCAGATGAGTTTACAGAACAGATTCCAAATGCTGGGATCATTGGGTCCGGCCACAAGAAATCACAGATAATTTTGCTAACCAGGTATACGAATTCCTATTGAAGTTCATATGCCTAAAATTCGCTCACTAACTAGTTTTTTATTTTACTTTTGGTAACCTCTTGGTATCCCTCAATACTGACTGTCTCTGTCACTAGAATAGGAAATTCACAGTCTTTTCTAAAGGAATCAAGCCAAAGAAAGCACTCTTCAAATTTCACAAAGAGAAATAGCAGCAAATAATCCAGTAAGAGAATGGTAAACATTATGCCTTGAAGTGGAATCCTCTTTGAGTTTGGAAGAACATATTCTCCTTGGGTGGGGTCAAGGAATACTTACCTCTAATCTTTTATGAAAATAAAGAATCCTGAAGTCAGTCCCTGTCCAATTGTATGGAAATGTCTGGGCTTTTCTAAGACTTCCATGCGGTCAGCTGAACAGAGCCCTCTGTATAGCTGTCCCTTCTAAACTCCGAGGGAAGGAAAGCCTTAATTAAACTGTGCTTGTTGAGGCTAGATATTGTGAAAGAGCTCTAGAGCAGATTCCTTGGTTCTCAGTTCTGGCTTCACATACTAACTCTTTAATTCTGATCAAACTATCTTGCTCCCCTTTATCTGTACACTTTCATTATATGCGAAGTTAGAATAACAATATTAATTATATTTAAGTGTTTTTAAAAGGATGATATGGGTTAATGAATATAAACATTCAGAATAATATAGCATACAGTTTGTTCAGCTAAATGTCAGCAATGATTGATGATGGTTTGAAAACTTAATTGGGATAGGTTAAGAGCATATCTAGAATGCATACTTCCTGTGGTAATATATTCTGTCCTATATTTTAAGGACTGTGAATTTTCAGTGTGATCAGGAAACATTACATGATATCACCCAGCAACTACTCTATTCCCCCAGTCTCCGAGTTCCTCCTCATCTGCTTCCCTAACTACCAGAGCTGGCAGCACTGGCTGTCCCTGCCCCTCAGTCTCCTCTTCGTCCTGGCCATGGGGGCCAACGCCACCCTCCTGATCACCATCCGGCTGGAGGCCTCTCTGCACGAGCCCATGTACTACCTGCTCAGCCTGCTCTCCCTGCTGGACATGGTGCTCTGCCTCACCGTCATCCCCAAGGTCCTGGCCATCTTCTGGTTTGATCTCAGGCCCATCAGTTTCTCAGCCTGCTTCCTCCAAATGTTCATCATGAATTGCTTCCTTGCCATGGAGTCCTGCACATTCATGGTCATGGCTTATGACCGCTATGTGGCTATCTGCCACCCACTACGATACCCCTCCATCATCACTGATCAATTTGTAGCTAGGGCTGCCATCTTCGTTGTGGCCCGGAATGGCCTCTTTTTTCTCCCTGTTCCAATTCTTTCTGCCAGACTCAGATACTGTGCGGAGAACATCATCAAGAACTGCATCTGCACTAACCTCTCTGTGTCCAAACTCTCCTGTGATGACATCACTTTTAATCGACTCTACCAGTTTGTGGCAGGCTGGACCCTACTGGGCTCTGACCTCATCCTTATCATTTTCTCCTACTCTTTTATCCTGAAAGCTGTGCTAAGGATTAAGGCTGAGGGAGCTGCTGCCAAGGCCCTGAGCACCTGTGGTTCCCACTTCATCCTCATCCTCTTCTTCAGCACAGTCCTGCTGGTCCTGGTCATCACTAACCTGGCCAGGGAGAGGATTCCCCCAGATGTCCCCATCCTGCTCAACATCCTGCACCACCTCATCCCCCCAGCTCTGAACCCCATTGTTTATGGTGTGAGAACCAAGGAGATCAAGCAGGGAATCCAGAAACTGCTCAGGAGGTTATAAGAGGTAAAAAGAATCAGATCCAACTCCTGGAATTGTTAAAAAAAAAAAGTCAGGAATTGTTTGTATACTGGAAAGGGAATTTCACTGTTTAATCCTGAAATGAGTTCTGATTTTTCTTTGCCTTAATATCTTAGATAAGAATGAAAACATTCCTCCATGAATCTTTGTTTCCTGTTGCTTCAAAGGAATCCTTTCTTTGTTAGATATTTTGGGGAATTTTTCTTGGCAGAATCCTTAAATGAGAGGCATGGCAAGCCTTAGTCAATGGTGTAGGATTACGTTAGGAATTTTTGACCACTAAAGACACAGAATGTATATGATAACCTTAAAAAGATCTGCCTGTCCCCTGATTTACAAAGGATGTAGAAGCCTTCCTTTTTTCCACTTTCAGCCTGATAGAGCCCTACACGACTTCTGCATTGTGAAGAGTTTATTGGACTGGACTATAGACATTACTCTGGTTCTCGGGGTCAAGTGTTTAGCCCTGAGCTTCCCTAACATTCTTCTCTGGCACCTCTGGCAGAGGTGACATCTTCCGTCTCCTCAGATCATTTCAGACCTGATAAAATTTTCCATCTGTGTAACTTCTCCTTATTTTTTTTTTTACCATCATTTTGCAGAATGAGTAAGTATGAACATTTTGTTCAGTATTTTGTGTGTTGTTGTCATCATTTAGTCGCTAAGTCAAATCTGAGTCTTTGAAACCCTATGAACTGTAACTTGCCAGATTCCTCTGTCCATGGGATTTTCCAGGCAAGAATACTGGAGTGGGTTGCCATTTCCTTCTCCAGGAGATCTTCCCAAAGCAAGGATAGAAGCTGTGTCTCCTGCGTTGCAGGTGGATTCTTTACCACTGAGCCATCAGGGAAGCCCACTTTGCATGTACACACATTAAATTATCTAGACATTAAATGAGTGGTTAATTATTACCATTTTCCTAAGCACACTGCTTCCTGCTGCATTCTGAATAAGAGGGAAATCATTATCATATATGCCATTTACCTTGGGGTAGAAGATATCCATGCCATTTTAGTGCTCCTCTGTCCCTACAGTCATTTCTACCACTAGTTTTTCTCTTGAGAAAATTTTACTTACATGAAGGTTCAAACCACTGGGCCCAAAATATTGAATGCCACTTAAAACTATGGATTGAGCATACTATATTCATATTCATTTCAGCCTGAATATGCCATGAGGCTTCCTACAAGCATGCTTTCTTGAACTCCAAGAGACAGTCTCTGGTGATAAGTGGCTATGGTACCACTCCAGGACTCACACCTTTTGAAGCTCTCTGGCTTCTAGTGTTACTTGGTGCCCCAATTCTCTCCACTTTCCCATCTGGTATAGTCAAGGGAACAAAACAGGCTCTTATGCACCAATCATGAAAAAGCAATCTGCTTTCATCAGACCTAGGCAGCTATCTTAGTAAGTTATCTTACTGACTTATGGCTACATAATGTAGCTCTGCAAGCCCTGCCCAGCTCTGCAAGCCCTGCCCAGAGCAGTACAAAAGAGTATAAATATCAGTTTACTTGTAAAATAACCAGAGACATAAATAGAGCCCACAATGCTATATATCATGTTTTCCTCAGATCCCATGGAGTCCTTAATTTAGTCTAATTTTCCTTCTTAGGGAAGAATAGCTCTTGCAACTTCTCTCAGAACCATCTATGACTTGGTACTTCCTCTGAGAAAAGCTGTTAAGATGTTATTCTTTGCTTCTGAAATGTTCTCAGTAGAAAAGAGTGATGGTATCATTCATTGTTGTTATCACTTTTGTCTGCCTCCATCCTGTCTGTCATGATTTCTCCTTTCTTTGATTGAATATCCTCCCTAGTTTAGACTCTTCCTGAGTGAGGATTTTTGGTTCTGGCATGCTGACAATACATTAACTAGGTAGTAGCAGAAACCCCTGGGATCCTTGTTTCTGTTCAGAAGGAGGTGGCAAAATTGGAAGAATAAAGTGTAGAAGGGTTATCTCTACCCCCAAGCTTTACTTATGGTTAGTACTAGCTTTGTCAGATGGGATGAAGCTGATATCCAACCCAAGTTTCCCTTCAGAAGACATAGAGTTAGGTTCAAAGTATGAGATGTAGTATCTTGTCCAGCTATCCCCCGTCATCTGAAATACACAGTTGCAAGCATAGTCCTGAAATTCAGGTAAGGTGGGAAAGAAAGATTGTGTCTCAGCATCCTCTCCAGCTCCCTCACTCCTCTTGCTGGTACCCAGAAGCTTTCTAAGGCATTTCCCTTTTGTTTCTGCATGTATTCAGATGCAGCTTATAGTCACCCAGTGAGTGAGTCAGATTTTAATGCCCTTATTGTCCTATCATTAGTACTAAATACTTCCTTTGCCCTTTCCTATTTCCATTTAAGTCACTGCACAGTAGGTAATAAGGGAAAGTAATACATTTATAGCACATTACACTTCATGCCATTTTGCAGGCACTCACTATAAGGAAATGACCCTCTTTAATGGATAATATTCCAACTCAATGGATATGAGTTTGAGCAAACTCTGGGAGACAGTGAAAGATAGGGAAGCCTGGTGTGCTGCAGTCCATAGGGACACAAAGAGTTAGACACGACTTAGTGACTGAACAATGACAACAAAGTTAAATCCTCATCTAAATGTAACTTTTCTAAGAGTACATTTAATATCTGAAATAAATTTCTCTCTGTCCTCAGTCTTGAAAATTTATTTTTGTTTTTTTTTTTGAAAATTTATTTTTCATTTATACTCCTTATGTAGACTGCCCCAGTTTCTCCACAAGTCTTCCTGGTTCAACTCTCTACCTATTCGTCATTACTCCCACATTGAATTTTGTTTTTTGTGTTTACTCCACTCCATGTTCTCCCCCTCCTTTTACCCCATTCCTCCTTCACCACTTTCTTTTTCTCCTCCTCTCCTTCCCTTCACAAGAAATGGGCCTATGCTCTAGGTTGAGATGTTTAAAATAGTCTTAGCCCCACTGTGGGCTATGGGAAAGAAGGGACAGAGTAGAGTTCATGGAGATAAAAATAGCCTCTGGACCCTCTGGAGGGCTGGACCAGAAGGTGCAGCAAACAGTTATAAATAACAACAGCTCACAGTTCAGTCTCCTCAAGCTGGTAGGTCTGCTTTGTAGCTGGGAAAATCATTAAGATGGGAATGACAAGGCAAGTAGAACTTCCAAGTATTCAATATAAACAGAGAGAAGAAATTCTTCTAGCAGAACTAAAGCAGGTCTGGTTCTGCATAATCAGTCTACCACTTTCCCAAAATGTGGTGCATCACAGCTTTCAAATGGGAGCAAAGTGTTTCTAGTGTAAGCTGTGTATTATCCATTTAGGAAAGCTGAGATATCTGAGTAAATGTTCTTGAACTAAATTTATATGTTCATTATCTCCTGTGGCAACTGGAGAGGAAGAGTTTATATTTTCAACTGTAATTCAGCCCCTGTTCCTGAAGATTGCTCTAGAAGCACCAGAAGAGAAAGTACCAGTAATCTCAGCTACCTTGATTACCCCTGCCTTGCTTTCCTGTTTCATCCTGCTGTGTCTCCCAGTGCTTTTTCCTACTTCTCTAGCTAGGACAGAAGAGCTTTTCTATTGCTCGAAGCTTAATGCTCTCCAGAGGACTTGACACTGTGTGCAGAGTCAATATTTTAAGTTCACTGATCCAGGGAAAAGAACACAATAACCAGCTGGAAACAAAGCAGATGAGTTTATAGAAATCTATTTATTTCCTTAAGGTAATTGGAATCTGGCCACAGGTAAGTTCGTATGGTCTGATGAACACGATAAAGAGTTTTTATCTGGATTTATGTCTGAAATTATAGCTGTTTTAAAGTTCCAATTCTACCTTTTGAACTTCAGCTCTTTTGCCATGCTTTGTTAACAAAACCTAGTTGCAGCTTCCAAATATATTTTATGTGAAAGAATGGTGTTCCTAAGGACCAGATTTTGAGATATCTGGACATTTTGGCATTCTTTACTGAGTAGTGACATTGATTCTAAAAAAATGAAATAACATCACTGGTTTAGGGAGGATGGGAAGAAGTGAATATCTAGTCTGAGTCAGGGAGGTTAGGGTTGCTGGGAAGCCCTAGTCTCTGATATGTCTGTTTTATCTAAGGTGGGAGGTCTGGAGGTGTGGATTATCTCTGTCCTAAAGGAAGTATTCCCATCATGAAACTGAAGGATCACTTTGCTAGGAAATCTCTAAAGGAAACTTGATGGGGTGTACTGAAAAAGAAAGTAAAAACTACAATTTTGAGCTGACCCAGAAATAGAACCAAATGAAAGGAGTTCCCATATATAATCAAGGAACTGTAAATGCCATGTGACCAACACCAAGAACAAACACATAGTTCAAGCAAAAAAAAAAAAAAAAAGAGAGAGAGAGAGAGAGAAACATTCAGTTTTCCCCAAACTCTAGACATTGATGTCCAATCCAGTAGCCAGTGCTCAGTCAGACTTGAGATGTGCTGTGAGTGTAAAATGCACACTTAATTTTAAAGATTTCATACAAAAAACAAAGAATGTAAAACAGTTCTTTAACAGTTTTTTATGTTGATTACATTTTAAAGCAATAATATTTTGGATATTTTGAGTAAAATAACATATTATTAAAATTAACTTCACATGTTTCCTTTAAATTTTTCAAGCTGGCTACTAGAAATTTACAATTATGCATGTGGCCCACATTGTATTTCTCTTAGAAGTGCTGCTATAGGTGATCTGGAAAGTGATAACATATGAGGCAAAACAGAAGAGCAAATTTGTTTCTTCCAACTTTGAAATTTGCATTCAGATATTCACACTTACTTAGTTTGGAGGAACAGGCTTCTACTTTCTCAGAAAGGAGAAGAAAGTTGATTCTAGGAAAGTCCAAAACTCATTAGGACACTGCCATTGTTGATAAAAATTGGCTGAGTTTGGGATTCCTCAGAGTATTAAAAACAGGGACTTCCCTGGCCGTTCAATGGTTAAGACTCTGTGCTTACTGTAGGGGGTGC